CCAATAGTGTTCAGTCCAGTCTTTTCTGACTGTTTTATTTAGATGACCTCTTCTGAATTAGTTTTGTGCAGACAAATCTGGCTGACCTTTTTTAAGCTCATCTTTTCACAGAATTATTGTACCAGTGGTGCAAGACGAAAAGAAAGACGGAGGTTCTAACCTCCTCATCTCCAGAATCTCTTTTGTCTTTAAAGTGCAGCCTACGGATTTGAAATGGAGAGGACAGTGGTCTGTCTGCAGATGAAACACTCACTTTGCACCTTCAGCGCATTGGGAATATTAATTTCATAGTGAGGTTGCTAAGGTAGTGTCTTGGCTGTCATGCAGCAAAATATGGCGAAATCACTATGTGTGGATAAATAGAAGAATTCAGCTGTTTACTGCCAAGATATTGAATATGCTGAGAGATCTGTATCCATGTTACTAGGAATTTTATAGGAAACTGTACAAAATATATCTCAGCAGATCTCAAAGCTGATTGTTCAAGGTAAAAGAATGTAGGACTGAGGACCTGATTTTTAAATGCCAATATTTACTTGAAAAGATTGCACTCCAATGCTATGGCAAAATTATTATTAATCATTAACAAAATGAAAATTGCCTAGCAAATTCCCTGTAACACAAAAAGGTATGTATTTCATTTGATAACAGCAGCTGCTAAATTCCATAACTTAAAGTAAAGTTTTCATTTCAGTTTTTCTGGGATAATCAATGATTTTATGTGGTATCTCACTGCCTCCCCCTTCCACATCTAGATGCTAACAAAGCCAGGGAGCTTCACTACAACTCAGCTGGCACATTTTTCCCAAATCTCTTGGTAGTGCAAAAGAACACAGGAGGCACTGTTACAGCTACCTATTGTCTTGGGAACAAAAAACTGCAGCTAAGAGGAAAGAAGAGAGCTCTGACTCTTCCTTTTGTGCAGTGTCCTTAAAGTACTAGTGCAATGAAGTTTGAAGAAAATCTATTAAAAAAAAAAAGCTGACATGAAAATGAAAGGCAGTCGCTACTGCAAATTAAAGCACGGGCCAGTCTTAGCAGATCCTAAAATGGGCTGATGTTAACTTCAGTTTAGTCTGTGCGCCAGATTACATTCAGGTATTGTAGCATTCCTTGCATTTCTGAGTAGATGTTAGTACATATTGCTTCTCATTTAGAAGTGAGAAGCAAAAAAAGTAATAGCACTAAGCTGAAGTAGACTTCTTTTCTGGATGTGTTTGTCACTGCTCACAACTGCTTCTTTATACTGTACGTTATTTTGTTTACCCAGTTTGATTATGTTTTCCTCTCTTTTCTGCCAAATTCATCAGCTTATATTTTTCAGCTATGACATAGAAAAACTTTTACATTAATTGCAAAGCAAGAGAGGTATTGAAGAAAGTTGCAACACTGTGGTGACTTTAAAGTGGGGTTTTTTCATATGTTTATGCAAATATCTGTGGTGGCCTGAGTACTGGAAACTCAGATTTGCATTTTCAAGTAAATGTATGTAGCTCACCTGCATGGCAAAGGCAGTCAGGTAAATTACAGTAAGGAGGAGTATTGACTTGAAGCTTGTTTTTGTTAAATTAGACAGCTTTCTGTCCACAGATGATAGCCGTATACATTAATGGCTGTGCAGACACCTTTTCTGTGTGCCTTCAGCAACAAAATTCCATTTAATAGAAATCCTAACTTGCCTAGGCATGAAAATGCGCAGTGAAGGCACAAAAACATCAGCTTTCATCTGCTGTGTAATAAAAACTGTGAAATAATCATTATAATTGCACCGTTCTGATATTTGTGGGCCTAGACTAAACTAATTTCAAAGGCATGGTTTTAATAACACATTTTCCCTTCTCCCACAGTATTTCTAAATACAAAAAAAAGGTGGACTGTTAATATGAGGATTAAGCTGGGGGTGGGTTTTTTGCCTCTTCCAACTGCAGCCACACAGGTCTTTGTAGCCTTGTTTTGTAAAGTACATCTTATGAGGGACACCTGAGATCAGCATACTCCACTTCAGAGCACTCTCCCTTTCCCTCAGGGCAGTAGAACATCTCTGCAGCTGTTACATGGCTTCTACAGAGAATACTATCAGATAAAACAGAAGGTTGCACAGCCTGCAGTCAGTAGGAAGCATTTGTGACTTTCCCCAGCTATGCTATTCAGTACAAAGACAGGTTTACAGCAGTGTAATGCAGCAGTTTTAATTCTGTTATGGACTGTTGTATTTTAATACTATTTTAAAATAAATGCGTGGATGATAAATGTTACCAAGTATTAATAATAAACAGGATGGACTTATTTATGGTACACTAATGATAATGACTATTTCTGGAAGATGATCACAGAATCACAGAATGTTTGAGGCTGGAAGTGACCTCTGGAGGTCATCTTGTTCAACCCCTCTGCTCAAGCACAGTCACCTAAAGCAGGTTGCCCAGACGGCTTTTGAATGTCTCCGAGGATGGAGATTCCACAACCTCTCTGGGCAAACTGTTCCCATGCTCTGTCACCCTCACAGTGCATAATTTAATCAGAAATGTTTTGCATTTTTAGTAAAGGTAAAATTGTTCATGCAGAGGAATATTTAGTTGATCAGAAGATGTCATTAATGGCCTGGCTGAACAGAGAGCTTTGGCTGGAACTCAGGAAAAAAAGGAGTTTACGACCATTGAAAGATGGGGCAGGCAACTCAGGTGGACTACAAGGATGTCCTGAGGTTATGCAGGGAGAAAATTAGAAGGGCCAAAGCCCAACTAGAACTTAATCTGGCTACTGCCGTAAAAGCAATAAAAAATGTTTCTATAAATACATTAGCAACAACAGGAGGGCTAAGGAGAATTTCCATCCTACATTGGATGTGGGGGGAAACATAGTGCCAAAGGATGAGGAGAAGGCTGAGGTACTTAACACCTTCTTTGCCTCAGTCTTCAATAGTAAGACCAGTTGTTCTCCGGGTACCCAGCCTCCTGAGCTGGAAGACAGGGATGGCGAGCAGGATGAACCCCCCATAATCCAAGGGGAAATGGTTAGCGACCTGCTACACCACTTTGACACACACAAGTCTATGTGGCCGGATGGGATCCACCCAAGGGTACTGGGGGAGCTAGCGGAAGTGCTCACCAAGCCACTTCCAATCATTTATCAGCAGTCCTGGCTAACTGGGGAGGTCCCAGTTGACTGGAAGTTAGCAAATGTGGCGCCCATTTACAAGAAGGGCCAGAAGGAGGATCCGGGGAACTACAGACCTGTCAGTCTGACCTCGGTGCCAGGGAAGGTTATGGAGCAGATCATCTTGAGTGCCATCATGTGACAAGCAGGTGATCAGGCCCAGTCAACATGAGTTTATGAAAGGCAGGTCCTGCTTGACTAACCTCATCTCCTTCTATGACAAGGTGACCTGCTTGGTCATCACCTTGCATGAGGGAAAGGCTATGGATTTTGTCTACCTAGACTTTAGTAAAGCCTTTGACACCGTTTCCCACAGCATACCTCTGGAGAAACTGGCTGCTCATGGCTTGGCCGGGCATACGCTTCGCTGGGTAAAAAACTGGCTGGATGGCCAGGCCCAAAGAGTTGTGGTGAATGGAATTAAATTGAGTTGGTGGCCGGTCACAAGTGGTGTTCCCCAGGGCTCAGTATTGGGGCCAGTTCT